TTACTCTCTCTCTCTCTCTCTCAGAACACACACACACACACACACACACACACACACACCCCGCAACTAGTGACCACAGGTGAGGAGAAGGAACTGCAGGGGGTGGGCGGGGTGGTTAGGACAGCTCTACCCCTTTTTAACCTTGGCTACTGGCATGAGGGTGCGTGCGCTGCCCTGAGGGGTACTGGTATGGGAAAACATTCTCCAGCTTTGGTGCACTGTCATGCACACATCTAGAATGAAATGGACACATGCAAGCACTCAAAGAAGAACTGTACATTGTAAATTTCATCCATGTTCAAATGGAAGATTGTGAAGAAATGTAGAAATGTTTCTGAACGAAATTAATGCTTTTGAAGTGAGATAAAACAGCAACTTAACCAAATTTTATCTTATCCAATAATGAAAAAGATAATTTGTCTTACTTTAATATTGTATCATTCTTATGTATAATATAGGATTTTTACAATTGCAATTTATTTCTATAATAAAAAAGAAAGTGACTAGATTTATAGAGTTTCTTTTTAAAACTATAAGATATGACAAACACTGTGTACAACAAAAAGAAAGCAATTCCTCCCCAAACCTTAGCTCTTCAAAGACACTGATGAGGTATGACCCTCCTGGATCACTATTTCATACATTTACTAAGATGACAGTAATTCTATAATTCCATTGGCACATCTATATTTGATACAAACTATTCACAGTAGTTGGTTTCATGTTCATTTATGCAGCCTGGGTAACCATAGCTACCTACATCAGATTGTGTCACCAGCTTCAACAATTCTATGAGGAAAATTCCTAAAGTACTCATTGTCCAAAACTGCCATTTTAAAAGAGGTAAGTTAAAAACAGTTGTAGCTCTGTATATATGGCATTTTTCTATATATGCAACAAAATACATAAATCAAAAATCTTAAAAATACTTACTTTCCGCATTGGACAAAGTGCAGGGATTGCTGTCAACCAAAGCTAACTGAAAATGCTGAAAAAGAATTAATATTGTTTACTTGGTTTTGATAGTCATAATTTAGAGAAATTATTTTAATACAGAAACAAATTTTTATATTTGAAAGCAAATCTACTATTTTACATGAGTCAGTTAGCCTGAAATGCAAGAACTAATATATAATCTTTTGAAATTTTATCTTTAACAGATATATTTCATTAGAGGAAAGAAATTATTTTACAGAATGTTTCATGAACTTAAATGACCATACTTCTAACAATTAAGTTTAGAACAGATATTTTATGAAATAGTTAGGGTAGTAAGTTTTTAAAAGAATGACTTCATCATTTGAATGGTTAAGATCTGTTCAAGCATTTATTTGACCTTCACAACAACTGAGACCAAGTCATAGCCATTTCAGAGTCCCATGCAAATAACCGTGCAAGTCATTAAATGGCATATTTACTACAGAAAAATAAAACAGATTCAGAAGTACAGTGATTTGAAGCATTTCATCTGTTTATCAAGATATTAAAGCATTAAAAATAAATGACTTCAGATAAAAAGCTACAATTTTCATAACCACTTAGAAATCAATTGTCCCAGTTTTTATTTAAAAAAAAAGAGTTTCTGTAAAACATTTGGAATTGTGTCTGACTGTACCGAATATTATAAGATTTCATTTAAAAAATATATAAACTGTGAATTTATTTCTTAAGCATTTCCCTTTTCCAGAGGGGAAGCCAAACAATCAAAGTAATAAAGTTTGTCTACAAGAAAGTTTAGACATGACCAATCATTTTACAGTAGAACCTAAAGTTATGAACTCCAGAATTACAAACTGACCAGTCAACCACACACTTCATTTAGAACCAGAAGTACGCAATCAGGCAGCAGAGATCAAAAGAGGGGAAAAAAAGCAAATACAGTACAGTACCGTGTTAAATGTAAACTACTAAAAAAATAAAGGGAAAGTTTAAAGAAGTTTTTATAAGATAAGGAAACTGTGTGTGCTTTTTTCACTTAAATTAAGATGATTATAAGCAGCATTTTTCTTCGGCATAGTAAAGTTTTCAAGCTGCATTAAGTCAATGTCCAGTTGTAAACTTTTGAAAGAATAACCATAACGGTTTTTGTTCAGAGTTACGAACAACTTCCATTCCTGGGATGTTTGTAACTCTGAGGTTCTACTGTACAAGTTTCACATTAATTCAATGAACAGCATTAACATGAAAACTGAGAACTAAGAGTAAGTGGGTGTATCAAAATAGATGGAATATGCATACAAACCTAAATGCTTCAGCATTTTTCAAGAAACTTCATAGAAAACAAATCTCCTATATACAGTGTAGAGTTTGGATTAATATTTTCTTACTGCAATGTACAAGGCCTACTGAATATTGGTACCTACTGCAAGTACTAAATTTCAATGAAGCCGATAAGATACTGTTACAATCTGGATTACAAATCAAGTAACAATGTTTAGATACTGACTAAATCCAAATTTAACATGAAATACAAATCATGTAAATGAGGCTACTGAACAATTATACGTAATCTTGTTACTATGCAAGTATGGCATTTTATTTGCTGGTGTCTAGAGTACCAAGCAGGTAAGCAACAGGAGCTGTTATTAATGAAGCAAGAACATTTAAAACTAAGTTCTGAGTAAGTGATGCAGTCACCCTCTTTTCAAGATAGTTGTAAACACAAGGATACCACTCCAATAACATCTCAATAGAATTTGACTCACAAGAATGATACTATAACAAGGGTCCATAATACACTGGACTTTTACTTAGATATATCTATGACCAGCTTAAAATCAAACAATTAAAAAAAAACCAATTACAGTGTTACAATTCAAGATAAATTATAAAGACTAGAGCTGCACCACTCAATTACAAGGATGCTCTCTAAGCCATACATAAATGGAACAGACATCCTCACTGCATTCTGTCAACTTCATCCATGCATACAAATAGTTGTCAAAAATAAAGTCATCTCAACATTAATTATAAATCCTAGTTTATCACATCAGCATCATGAATACTTTTGAACAATTCAATCACTAAAAAAAGAACACAGAAAACACTGGACACACATGCCTTCCAAAATAAAATGAAAAGATCAGACCAAAACATTAATATTAGCTTATTGTTTAGACTTGCCTGTTTTCTTTTCGAGGGCTCAGCAGTGATAGAGAAGTTAAAATCTCCTCTCACTTGCATTGCAATGCAGGTTGTGTGCCCCAGAGACATCCTTTAGTCTGTTACCATAGCAATACTAAGCAGGCAATTTAAAAATGATTAAAAGAAATTAATCAAAACGTCTCCTTTACATTTTTTCTGATAGAAAAAGATGAACAGACCTGTATATTTAGGCCTGTGCAAGGGCCTAAATTTTACACGGACACTATCATCACCTATTAATGTTTAACATAAAACAGAAAGGTACAGATTTGCTATTATACAAAATGAACAGATCAAAAATGAAATGTTTGACACTTATTTGGCAGTTCCTCTTCAGAACGGTTATGTTCATCAGACCCAGTGAGAACACACAGATAACTGCATAAGTAGAAATGCCCATTTCAGCATTTAAATCTACCCGTATTCAACACTACACAGTGAAACAGCAGGAATATTCTCACTAAATAGGAAACACACACACACACACACACACACACTTACAATTTCAAATTCCACAGCATCATCTCAAATATTCCAAAACGTTATCCATTTCTGACTACACCATTTAGCAAATCACACCATAGAACTACGGATAATCCAGAACAGATATATAGATTTTTATAGAAAAACAACAAGGCACTTGTGCAAAACAATTATTACAACGCTGCATATACAAAACCAACAATCTTTCAAGCACAAACACACATGAACCACCCTACACCTCTAGTTGGTTACAATAAACAACAGCCTCCTTTCAGTTAGTCAATACAGACAAAAAAAATAATCATGCATACTAATAAATTAAGCTAATCAGTCACAAACAATCCCATAAATTACTACCATCAACACCAAAATTTACAAAACACCATGTTACTTTCCAACTCCCATTTCTGCAACAAACAGAAGCAGCTAGCAAACATCTGCACCTCACACAAATATTGCGGTACTGAAGCTGTCTACTGCTGTGTGAAATAGTTGTTATGCAGGAGAGGCCGCTGCAGTTCAGAGACGACATACAATACCTCAAGGCAGACAGCAGTCTATAGAAATTCAAATCCTGAGTAAGAGGATTTACCTAGAAGGCTCTGTTCTGAATGTTAAAAAGTATCTTTTCAAGTGCTACAGCTGAAGTAATGAAATAGCTTGATTTGTAGCAATTTATAATAGTACAATTATCAGAAGACTATTTTGTCTCGTTTAGAGTCCTTGACTTGCCTATGTGATTGTGGTAACAATTTCTGATATAATCTTTCTGAGAAATTTAAAGTACAATGCTTGCGTATGTACTCAATTACTGAATGCATTAAACACAATCATAAAATGAAAATAATTCATCACAGAATTAAATCTAATTTAAAACATTCTATTCACTCTTACTACTAGAAGTGAGTGTATTACAGACACACACAATCACGGATTCTCTTAAAATGTATTTATTGTCCTCATTTACATACCTTTAACATTAAAGAGGCCAAATACATGATTTTTTGTGATTGTTTTAATCCATTAAAAGAAAACCAACAAATACAAAGGTAACATTTGCCAATCTTACCGCAAGGCATTCAATAGGAGTAATTTGTAAATCAAAACCTTTAATAATGTTTTAAAATGGTGAGTCTAACTACTTTTCTTATCTCTAGTGTGATGTAACAAGTTTTCCTAATTGACAGCTGTACATTTATTTAGCACATTAAGCAAGCCATCATTTGGAAGCGGACAATTCTGACATCAACTTACCACCGGGGAAAGCCTGATCCCAGCTCAGTGCAATTCTGTCAGAGATAGCTTTTTCTGACTATATGACCTAGGTGTGATATGTATGTTCCTTAGAGCTGTCTTTGTTCAGATAACTAGGACACAGTAAGCCTTGCGTAATCAAAGTGTTGGCACATACCCAAGGCGCCATTTGCCAAGCATTGGGGGGGGGGGAGAGAGAAGAGGATGATGTGCAGCACGTGCTGCCAGATCAACTCTGCTCTCCAGGGTCCTCCAAAGTTGGAATTAATTCATGTTTTATGGAAAGAGGTTTGTGAGGCATAAACATTGTTTCTTTCATCCTGCACTGTACAATCAAAACACCAGAAATCAGCTACGAGAATAGGACAAAAGAAAAGTGTTCAAGACAGACTCAACAAAGGTCATATATTTACATAAACTGAATGAGATCAATCTGTTCAGAAGAATCACTTGTTCAGCCAACCATAGCTGTAAAATCCTACTCAAGTAACAAAACTTAATGAAGACTGGATTTTCACTGGCCAAAAGAAGGTTCTCTCTTCCCAGGCAATCTCCTAAATAGTGCATTGTAATGTTTGTCACAACCATATCTGAGTAGTCATGTTGGCTACAAGTCTGAACATGGCAAGGCATTAAGCCTTTAGTTGACAGCATCTCAGAGGTTAGTTGTTTTTAAACTACAGTCCAAAAGACTACCAGAGGGGAGAAAATGAAGGTGGTTGATTGAGGGCCTGTCTTTGCTGCAGTGTTAGCTCAATAATCTGTACTGGAGTTAACTGCTCTCAAGTTAACCTAGCTCCTGTGAACAGTCACACTGCAAAACAACACTTAAGTAGCACAAAGCATTTGAAATACCAGCAACAGAGTAGCTGAGTCCCCACTGCATTACAGCTCAAGCAGCAGCAGCATTTGGACTTCCAACCCACACCCCCTAACAAATCAAACGCCCCACCTAGCTGAAGCTAGAGATGTGTGCATGGGAACTGGGTAGGGACAACACTAAACTTATACTTTGAGCTAACACTGCAGAGAAGACAAGCCAAGAAATGTGAATTGCTGTATTAAATAATCTAGTATGAAGTTAAGGTCTATAGACTGAAAAAAATGGAGTGCTACTGATATTCATTAGCCTGAATTTTTAAAGATTTTGAATCACACTTATTTTTCTTTTTACTGTTTATTTTTCTTTTAAGAAATCAGCAGCACAGAATGTCAAACAAGCCAATTTTTAGCAATTTACTCCTTTGTAATTACAGGATACAGTGACTAGAATATTTTCTATATAATACTTCAGTTTTCCAAAGTAGCAAACTGATTAGAAGAAATGCATATATGCATTTATGCAAATATCCTTAATGCATGAGATTCAGTGATCCATAATAAAAAAAAAAGCTGTATGAACAACTCCAGCTGTTGATTCAATTACAGAGCTTCCTACCTTGTTAAGTAATTATGATTTATCAAAGAACATGTGTGGGTATAATCATACAGATAAATAAAACTTGTCAATTTGTGTAAGAGTTAAAGAGCACTTTAACTTGCAACCCTTATTTTCTGTTTACCTATAATTGTTTAAAAATAATCTTTTGACAGATTTTATCATGCTTGGGCTTCAGCCCACAAAATGCTTTTTTTTTCTTTAGACTGAGACAGCCACCTGAACAGCTAAAGATACAAGAAATGTTCATCTTTTTAAAAGTATTTTATACTTTTTTCAAATAGTTCCCAGAGGAATAGGATTACAGTGAAATATTTTGCATTAATGAGTTTAAATATTAACTAAGACTCTTCATTAGTAAATGTAATTGAACTATTTCAACCATTTTTGTTCCAATTAAAAATTGATTTAAGAACTTTAAACTTGACATATTTACAGCTCTTAATTAATGCTTTAACCATGTTTGAAAAATAAATGTGGTGAAACAAAGAAGGTGGATACAGACTGTAGTCATCTCTCCCACAAAGTGGTTTTCCAACCTGCATGTAACTGGGCAGGAGTTCTGCTACACATTGCTCATTGGGCTCTATAAGTCTCTTTTGTAGACAGCAAAACAACCAAATGAGGTTGTGTGGTTGATGTCTTCTAAAAATGGGATATGAAAAATCCACCCACCTATGTCAGCTGCTCATAGCTTTCCTAAAGACAGAGTCCTACTCATCCTGAGAGAGAGTATTTTTCCAGTCTGATTATGATTAGGTCCAGATTAGGGCTGTCAAGCGATTAAAAAAATTAATCACACTGTTAAACAAGAATAGAATACCATTTATTTAAATATTTTTGGGTGGTTTTCTACATTTTCAAACGTATTGATTTCAATTACAACAGAATGCAAAGTGTACAGTGCTCACTTTATATTTATTTTTGATTACAAGTATTTGCACTGTAAAAAAACAGAAATAGTATTTTTCAATTGACCTAATACAAGTACCGTGGTGCAATCTCTATATCATGAAAGTTGAACTTACAAATGTAGAATTATGTACAAAAAAAACTGCATTCAAAAATAAAACAATGTAAAATTTTAGAGCCTGCAAGTCCACTCAGTCCTACTTCTTGTTAAGCCAATCGCTTATACAAACAAGTTTGTTTTCATTTGCATTTGAACACTTCCCGTTTCTCGTTTACCTCACCTGACAGTGAGAACAGGCGTTCTCATGGCACTGTTGTAGCCAGAATCACAAGATATTTACATGCCAGATGCACTAAAGATTAATATGTCCCTTCATGCTTCAACCACCATTCCAGGGGACATGCGTCCATGCTGATGACTGGTTCTGCTCAATAAGAATCCAAAGCAGTGCGGACCAATGGATGTTCATTTTCATTATCTGAGTCAGATGCCACCAATAGAAGGTTGATTTTCTTTCTTTTTTTTTTTGGCGGTTCAGGTTCTGTAGTTTCCACATCAGAGTGTTGCTCTTTTAAGACTTCTGAAAGCATGATCTACGCCTCGTCCCTCTCAGATTTTGGAAGGCATTTCAGATTCTTAAATCTTGGGTCAAGTGCTGTAGCTATCTTTAGAAATCTCACATAGGTATCTTCTTTGCATTTTGTGAAATCTGCAGTGAAACTGTTCTTAAAATGAACATGTGCTGGGTCATCTGAGACTGCTATAACATGAAATATATGACATAATGCAGGTAAAACAGAGCAGGAGACATTGAATTCCTTGGGGGAGAATTGTGTCACAAATTTAATTAAGTCATTTTTTTTAAACAAGTGTCATCAGCATGGAAGAAGCATGTCCTACGGAATGACGGTCGAAGCATGAAGGGGCATACGAATGTTTAGCTATCTGGCATGTAAATACCTTGCAATGCTGGCTACAAAAGTGCCATACAAATGCCTGTTCTCACTTTCGAGTAACATTGTAAATAAGAAGAGGGCAGCATTATCTCCTGTAAATGTAAACAAACTAGCTGAACAAATTAGCTGAACAAGAGGTAGGACTGAGTGGACTGGCAGGCGCTGAAGTTTTACATTGTTTTGTTTTTGAGTGCAGTTATGTAACAAAAAAAATCTACATTTGTAAGTTGCACTTTCACAACAAAGAGATTGCACTACAGAACTTGTATAAGGTGAATTGAAAAACACTATTTCTTTTATCATTTTTACAGTGCAAATATTTGCAATAAAAAATAATACACACTTTGATTTCAATTACAACATAGAATACAATATATATGAACAAGTAGAAAAACATCCAAAATATTTAATAAATTTCAATTGGTATTCTATTGTTTAATAGTGCAATTAAAACTGCGATTAATTTTTGAGTTAATCGTGTGAGTTATCTGCAATTAATCAACAGCCCTAGTCCAGACACTTTGTGTCAAGGTCTCCTTCATTCAGTGGCATTCCACTGTAACAGACTAGAAATGCCATAGCAGCTTCATATAAATTAAGAAATGGATGGTTTCACTGAATAAATGTAAAACTGAATATTACAATCAATATCGTATTCCTAGTGTTACACCTCTACCCCGATATAACACAAATTCGGAAATAATGCAGTAAAGCAGCGCTCGGGGGGGGGGAGGGGGAAGGAGGGAGCTGCGCGCTCCGGCGGATCAAAGCAAGTTCGATATAACGCAGTTTCACATATAACACAGTAAGATTTTTTGGCTCCCGAGGACAGCGTTATATCGGGATAGAGGTGTATTTGTTTTAGTGGTTGGGAATAGGAGTCTGTTGGGGAGTCTGATAAGGTATGAAATGGTTTAGGATTGTGCAGTAAATATTACCTGGCTGATTCTGTTGAAGTGATCAATAATAAAGTAATGACCTTTAAATAGTCACAGAATTTAAGGCCAAATCATCTACTCTGACTACTGTATACCACAGACCACTAATGCATTCGTCATCATTATACTTCAGAATTAGCACCGCATTGTGATGAATAGGCAACTCATGCCTCTCAGATGTTTCTGAAGACAACATTGCACCAGTTTTCACAAAGTTTGTCAGAGGAATATTTTCTTTACAACCACAAGGACTCTAAACATTTTTTAAAAATGTAAGCTTAAAGTCTAGAGCAACATTCAACAAGTGCTGGATTCTGTGC